AAGAATTATATCCACAATACGTGGATACGCCTAGTGATGGACTGTGCTGCAGCCCTGCAAATGTGTTGCAAAAATCTTTAATTTCTTTAAGCCTTATATAACCGTCATATGCCATCTAGTCGTGAATAAATTAATATTCGAGGTGAAAAGTTTGTCAGGTTTAGCATAATGAGATCCAATTAATTTGAACACTGCAGAACTCTGTTAATTTCACCCTGCTATAAGAGAAGGTGTCCATAAAAAAAGTGAAAAAAGTGTAGGTTTAATAGCCAGTTTTCATCTGGATAAACACCTTGTAGTAGGAAATCTAAATCCCTCTTTTGGATAAGGATAGGTGTCTTTTTATGGAATTTTTCAACAACAAAAAAAAACTGTCCAGCGCCTTGAACAAATGGTTTTAAATTCACAAACTTTCAAGAATTTCAAGGACAGGTGAGAACCCTGTCACCAGGTTGCCAGTGAAATGTGGGTGATGTTCCTGCGCTGCGTGAATGTTGGATAGCAGGGCTGTTACAAACCAGAGAACTTCATTGTTCTGAAAGCCTAAATAATTAAGGCCCCCGGCCAACAATCTTCATCCTGTTGGATATTCTTATCTATACATCTGTAGAGGTTCCCAATGCTCTGAATTTGCTGAACCTTTTTTTAAACGATACTGATGTTTTATTACACATATTCATCCAAATCTAATTCTTAAATGTATTGTTTTCTACTATAAAACTAATTTGAAATTAATATTTAAAAATGGCATTAAACAGTATCTAGATCAATGTCAGAATTAGCGTTGAGTTTGAATTAAATAATAATTAAGTAAATAAATATGACTTTTTGAGTTGAAAAAGCTTCCTGGATGGGAAGCGCAACGTCTTCAAACTTGGAAACAAAATCCAGAGGATTGTCTTTTCACTTTTTCGAATGAATCTGGATGACTGAGAATCTTCACCAGCATATTCAATAAAGCCACCTTATGTGTCCAGCAGGTTGAGATGTTATAAGAATCCAAATAGAATAATAGAAAGAGGAATGCATTCCCTGCTTTTTATTGTTTTTATTATTATAATATTTAGTGTAGTAAGGCAAGCACAAACTGTTCTTGTTTGCTCCATATTATCTAACGAAATTCAAAGGGGACGACAGTTGTTTCGCCAATATTGTTGGTTTGAAGTGGTAAAATAATATTAAACATGTATTCATAGTTTTATGTTATCAAAGTTTATTAAAGTTTTTAGTTTTATGTGCCGAACTGATTTTCCTGTGCGCTGAGAATGAGGGAGCAGCGTACAATTGTGCGAGCGGGCAGGTTAGAGGGAGAATTTCACCTAAGAGCAGTTTGACTGGAGGGAAAGACTGAATACAGGGAAAGGTGTGACTGACCTACAGGAAACCAGAGGCCCGTGTCTCGTAGGTAGGCGTTAAGGGCTTTTCTGGTCACACCAGGCTCAACGGTCACATCAAAGTCCTCTGGGTGAAGGTCCAGGATCTGATCCATGTTTCTCAAACTGAAGCACACGCCACCCTGAGCAAAGTTTAATTTAATGATAAGCAATTAAAAATGCTCCTGGAAACAGAGCCTTTCATTGCTGCGCTGCTTGCAGCCATGGCAGCAATACCGATGCTGATATTCTCTCACTTTCACAGCACCGACTCCTCCTTCCAAACCGGTCCCGGTGCCGAAAGGGATGATGGGAAGGTTGTGGTCGTGGCAGACTTTTGCCAGAGCACTGACCTCCTCCACACAGCGTGGGAACACCACCACATCTGGGGGTCGACATCTGCACAGAAACAATGCAAGATTCTTATCACTGCTTTACAAAAAAATAGCATGTAATCTTTAAAACCGGAGCTTAGAAGATTTGGTTCAGTTTAGTAAACAGATAACAGCTGACCTGTGTACCGATTCATCTTTACCATGCTGCTCTCTGACGGCTTCGCCAAGCGAGACGCCCTCCTCCCCACATATAGATCTAAACTCAGACAGAACCCTGCTCACTGCAGCCTTCTGCAAAAACACAAGAATACATTCTTTAATTAGTCTGATGTGATATGTTTTTGAGAAACAGTGTTGAAATTTCTAATTTGGTTGCAAGTGATAATAAACCAAATTAACAGAAATAAAAACATGACTTACATCACTCTGTGAAATTAATATGTACAGGTTTGTGTTGTGTTTAATCACTAAAATGAACTGTTCACTGATATCCGGTTTCACCTCGGTGTATTGTCTACCTTTTAACAATTTAATAGTTCATTAAAGCGTAAAAAAACCAACATATATGGGTAATAACTGCACACCTATATTTACACATGGCCTAGCATTTGTACTGTGTGGGAAGGTTATTTAGTTTGGAAAGAAAAGTCAGCAAAAGTGTGTTGAAAACAAAAGTTAACCATGTAAATTTAGAATTTTGGGGGTTTTTTATTTAACGAAATTGTCATTTCAAAACTGAATTTTATATTTACTTCAATTTTTTTGTCTGACACTGAAATTTGTTAAAAGTTATGAAAAATTTATAAGTAATGGAAAAAAGAACAATCCTGGGGGAGAGAAAGTGAGGATTTTTACTGAATTGTTCATTGCATATGTGGACATCAATTAAATTCAATTTCAATTCAGTTTCTATAGCTCCAATTCCCATCATGTCATCTCAGGTCACTTTCCAGTTCACCAGATCATCCAGTCAGATTGATTCAATGTTTCTATCTAAGGAAAACCAGCTGATTGCATCGACTCATTGACTCTTCAGCAATCCCTCACACTAAGCATGCTTATAGCGACAGTGGAGAGGAAAACTCCATCACAACAGCCATCTGGCTTTGCTGATGTTTAAACTAAATGGATTTGGTTCAGTAGTAGTCACTGGTTTCAGACTCAAACCATGGGATCAACACACACTGATTGACTGAGACGTGTTGACCATTAACCCGGACTTCAATTAGAAGCTAACCAAGTTGGCCCTCTGCAACCAGATGAGGAATCTGTTTGAATCAGTTAATTACTACAAATTAACACGATAGAGTGAGCATTTTACTGGGTGTACTTGAATGCATCATTAGCTGTCAGAAGCGCAGATGGTTTTAAGCTAATTCAAACGTAAACTCGCCTTGAAGTTTACAAAAAATTCATAAACTGGCGTCTTTACCTCAGACATTTCATATGTTTACTTGCTTTACGTTTAGGGAAAAAAATATGCAGTAACGTAGAAGAGCTTGCTCACAAAATGAGAGATTAGCTACATGGTGTCAATATTGACGCTGTTTAGTTTTCAATCAAGTTGAGATAAAATAGAGCTGTCAAAAAAGGAATAAAAAAGTATAATAATAATATAATAAAAATAAAATATTAAAAAAAACTAAAATAAAAAATGAGGGGTGCCAAAAGATATATATGTTGAAACCAATTGCAATAGGCTAAATAACCTGAATAATTTCCGTTTCCCATTTAGGGCTCCAACCTTCCTCCAACTCAAGGATAACCTTTACTTCTCCTGCTTCCTCTTTAAGCACCTTCTGTTTAACGGAGGTGGAGGACTTACCCTGGCGGTGTTTTCTAAGCTGACGTAGCGGCTGTGAATGAGGCTCCGCCGGAGAGACAGCAGCCCACGGCTGCCTGACAAACCTGGGAACATTGTTTACCAGCGCTGCGCTCTCTGACCCATTTATTGGTTGGTTAAGATCGCAACGATCAACGACACACCAAACACTTCCGCTGAATACCTTTCAAAATAAAACAAAGCACGGGTCTGACCTTTCTTCCCCTCTTGAATGTTTTCTTCACTTTTGTCTTAAATTTTATTTTGAAAAAATGAAGTCTAAAGCTAAAATAAAACTGTTTAATAATCATTTATTGAAATATATTCACATTTATTTTTTATATATTAGGATTATTATCTTTATCATCTTTGACAGATAAACACTTAAAGGCACACATGCTGTTATAAGGTCTGTTCTATATTAATAAAAAGCTATTGCAACTCCCACTTCTTTTCAATCATGATAAAACATCAAGTTCTAGTAAGCAGGTGATCAGATTCATGTTTTAAACTATATAGATTCAAGCTAAATCATGAAAAAAGTGAACCAAAACGTAAGAAAAAAAAAAATACTTTCATACTCTGTAAGCTGTTTATATTTTCCCTATAAAATCCGGGCACATTTTGAAAATGCTCCCTGAGTCGCAGTCAAACAGCAACAGGCCAGATTAAGCTACTATGGTGAGAAAAAGCATAGAGAACATAGTTATGGTGGAACTAACAATACTGCAGAATGGGAGAATTGAAATAGAATGAAGTAGGATGAAAGTAGAATGAAAAGTGGCCCCTATGTCCTCCTGCAGCCTAAACTTATAGCAGCAAAAAATTAGAAAATATCTCAGGATAACCTAATCATTTTGCATAAGATATGAGAAAGATTAAGCCAAGGAGAAGACTCTCTTTGGAATGAATTCTCCTCCACTACATAGAGACTGATTTTTTTTTTTTTTTTTCAGTTTAGTATGGGAAAAAAGTCAGAATTCTGACTGTAATCTCAGAATTCTGACTTTTTTCTCAGAATTCTGACTTTGAATAAAATTTAAAAATCAGTTAACTTTTTTTGTTTTTTCAGTGGCCCTATTCCTCTTCCGTAGACGTTTACTTTGCCTAGTCCTCCTTTCTGAAAAAAAAAAAAAAAAAAAAAAAACAACTCCTCCTTCTGAGGCAATATCTGGAAGCAGTAAAAATGAACAACTTCTATTCCACAAAGGGAAACCTCCATCGGATACTTCATAATGTGCATACTTAAGTTATCCTTTTATTATTATTACGTTAGTTATTAGTTGATTCATTACTCTCTTTTTTTTTTTATTAAGTGAAGACAGAAGGATGGTTTAGTAGCTGCTTTTATTTTGAAGTTCCACCATTATTACTTCTGGTTATCTTCTGATGTGCTCTGCTTTAGGCCGGTAGATGGCGCTGTAGATCAAGGATCAAGGACACAGAGCTGGGATCAAAGTTTAAGCAACATAACCCCCCTAAAAGGTACATAGAGCACTCACACCGACCTGTCAGTAAAGAGTTTATTGAATAGCAGCTACATTTTCTCTGTCTTCGTCTGAGAAGATCCATTATGACGTCGTGACGTGTTTCTTTCGTGGCCATCGCTGTTGTAAGACGCAGGTCGTTTTCTAGGAGCGTTTCGGGTTGTGTTTACCAGTAAACAAAACAGACCTAGAAGTCACTGTTTCATTACTTAGAAATTGAATTTTAGAATGACTGACCTGCCAGCGTTTCTGATAATATATCTCTGGATTGTTTTTCTCAAAATCACAATCAAACAAAAACTTAACATAGATTTCAGAGTTTAATATTTCAATCCTGAAAGGAAATAATACATAATAATAATTATGATAAAAAATGTTAAAATGTTGGAATCTGTGTGAAATGCTCATGTGTGATGCTGTATTATAACGTCATATCACCTGTTTTATCTCCTCTCTGTAAATAAGATCATGTATCCTGTTGATCTGCCCCCTGTGGACGAAACCGAGCTGACATCCGCATCTGAAAATTACCTAACTTCCCTGAAGGGAACACCTTCCAACAATGAGTGGTCTGGGTCTCAAAGGGTAAGATAACACCGGGGTTTTTATATATATATATATAAATACGAGCCAATTTGAGAAATTAATTTATAGTTTAAGAAAAGGTTAAAATACAAGACTGATACATTTTGTTGTTAAGATTAGATTTTAAGTTTTAAAACTCTAATATTAAAAGCATAGAATATAGAAATGCAATTTGAAATGCATATTTTTGGGCTTCCTGCATGCTGTAATTGTATTATTTTAATTGTAATTATTTTATTTTCTTGTACGTACTGTACATAAGGACTCAGGGGAAAACAGATATGCTGGAAGCAACACAGTTTTTAACTGAGTTTATATTAAGAGAATGTGGATGTTCCCTTATTTTTGTTTTCTTTTAATAAACATCACAAATTGAAGAACATTATCTGGAATTGCTTGCATTTCAATACTTGTTGCTAGACTGTTTTTCCATGCGGCACAGAAGAAACTAAAGGAGCTGAAGTGCCGCTACTATATATATATATGTACACACAATTATTATATTAAATTATACTACTTATACTTCAGTATCAAGGTGTTACTTTATTGTATCTCTTATTTGTTGGTTGTGCTGCTCTTCTTATATCTCTTTGCAGGTGATGAAGCAGACTGAAAATGTTTTTTCATTATCTCCCTTTTATCTCCTCTTTCTTTCATCTTTTCTTTTCCTTTCCTGTTCTACTTACATTGCAGTGTCCATAAAATCTGCGATACTCCCTGAACAATTATAATAAAGCAATTTATATAAAAAAATCAAGCAGAACACTATGACGATAGCAGTACTGCTCCATTTGTGAAAGCAAAATCTGTTGGGCTCTCTTTGGCATCAAGACAATTATTCTTATTGCCACATCGACAGACAGGGCACTGCTAAAAAAAAAAGCCCTCAGTAGTGATTTTCACAGGTACGTTCTTTCTGCAGTTAATCAAAGTAGGATTAATGACAATGAGGTTAAATCAGCTCAATAAAATGACCAGAGAAGAGGCCAGATCTATTTAAAGTGGGGTTTTTGAAAAACGCCTTCCTAATTTTTCCATCCTGCAAAGCTGACCTCAAAGAATTCAAACTGTCATGAAAACCAGAGGAGCTGAAACCGAGTCTGATAATGAGAAATAAAGTCTAAAGACAATAATCTGACCTTTGTTTTTGCTTTACTTCCTCCGGGAAAGTTAAATACCTGAGCATTGTTCTTAGAGCAGATGGCTGATGATAATCATTCTCTTTGCACAGGTTGCCATAACACCTTCCAACATCAGCCAGTTCCAGCTCTTTGAGGACGACCATCCTGCCTGCACTGTGCTGGCGCTTCATCCTCCTAATGATCAGACATTAGGTGTGGAGCTCAACACAGGTTTTCAGAAAAACTATAATATTAGAAAGACACTAACTCTTTCCTCATTACTGTTACCTTTTGAGTCTTGGCGTTATACCTGCATAAGCAGTGGTGGGGCCTGGACGATGTGCTGCGGACCTCCACTTCCAGAAGTGGCTTACAGTCGGTGAGTGAATTAATGTCTCAATGCAAAACAGTACGACTTTCACACCTAAAAAAGCAAAACATCTGTAGAGTTTCTGCACATTTGCCAAATTTCTGTATAGATTAGGCTCAGATCAAATAAAACTGAACAGCTTCAAATGTTTCCTAAAGAAATATGTTTATGTTGCCACAGCAACTAAGGTGACAGGTCGTCCACAGGTGCAGACGATAATGGAGAGGCTGATCATATTCCTGCTCAGTCGGGTGGTGGAGAGGCCCCCGTCGCATGGAGAGGTGCTATTCTCTCTGCACCCACGCACAGAAAACTGCAAAGTGCTTTGGAAGGACAACCAGGCGGTTGGATTTTACACTGTCAAACACAAAGGTGGGGCGCTGAAACGAGATCAGTTGGTTTGCATTAAGGAAGCAATTCCTGCTGATCTTAAGAGGGGATTTCCATTTAAGGGACTTCAGCTGATGAATTCACAAAACTTTTAGTTAAAATTTGAAGAATCAACCGTGATCGTAGTAATAAAACTACAAGTCTCTGGAAGATGGCTCTCTGCTAGCTTTGGTTTCTTGATGACAAACATTTTTTTTCCCAAGTCTTTCATGCAAAATAGCTCAAGCTCACTCAGACCAAATGGAGAGCATCTGTAAAAATTCAAATGTCGTCACAGATTCTAAAACTGCAGTCCTGATCTAGCCTGGACCATTCTATGGAGTGAGTTTTGTTACAAGATTCTTTCAAGCAGAAGACATATTTTGGAAATAGAAATAGAAAAAAAACATTTTTATGTTTGCAAAAAAAAATTAAAAAAATCCAATCCAGAAATTAACCTTTGACAAATTTTCTAATAAATGAAAAGGGATTTTGAGAGTTCACTGTTTTATAAGATAAGAAAATCAATCTAAGTAAAGAACAGAGTTACTTTCAAAACTGATTTTATGATGAAGTTTCATGTCTGGATTGCATTTAAAAAAAAAGTTGTTTACAAAATGTTTTCTTTGCATCAATAACTGAACGACATTCACTTGAGACACTGAGAAACATGAATATGTTTTGATGTGAACTACTGATGTGAACCACATGTTGGAGATTGTTGTTTTGCTTTATGAAAGTCAGCTGTCCTCCCAGGCAGTCTGTGCGACCACTGGAGCAGCCGCTGCTACCTGCTGCCCGTCCTGGACACGGCCTTAGTGAGGAAAAGCTGCAGGAGAAGAGGCTTTGGCCTTCAGATGCTTCACGACTTCTGCTCCTCATTCTCTTCGGAGGACTTCCTTGGAGTGAGCTCCCCCTTGTCGTCCAGCATGGTAGCAGGTCTGCATGTCCACTTATAATCTAAACCCACTCCTGGCATTCTTTGGGACTTTTTTAGAATGACAAAGCAGATATTTCTTTGGAACTTTTATGAAATGGCTACACTGGAAGTGAGGTGGAAATGTTCAGACATGCACACCGTTGTCACAGGGTGTAACTTTATGGTTGTTGCATGCTTGTGTTTTATTTGGTGACCTGAATAACCATTCAGTTATCAGAAGACTGGCAAAACAAATGGGTGTTGGCAAGGAGATGCATTTAAGAAGGTAAATCAACGAGTGTTAAAGGGTGGTTCTGTTGTTATTGCATTGTTTTATCTCCCTGATTAAGAATCTCTGCTCCTGGTTTGACACATTTTAGAGTTGATGACGTACAGCGGCCGAGGGATACAAACGCAACGCAAATACATAAATGCACCACCAATACAAAAAATACTGCAAAGACATTAGAGAGACCAACACACAAAAATACACATGCAAAGGAAAATTTCAGGAAAGCAGAAATGCTGGAATCAGAGAAAACGGAGAGCAGCAAAGATCCTGCAAAGACATAAAAGACGCTGAAACACAAACCTACAAAACACAAGCAAAGGGAAATGCTGAGAGTAAGGAAAACAAGTGCATGTTTTTAAGAAAAACTTAAACTAGCTTATAAAGGAAGTGCTCCTGCCCACTAGAGGGGGACAACCATCAAATCATATGAGACCAGAACACAGAAATTATTACAAATTAATGCATATTAACCCGACCTTTAGCAAAAGCCTTAGCAGGATACGCACCCAGGGTACATTTAGAGGAAGGAAAGAAAAGGTTAGCTTCTCTTAACCTTTTTAAAGACTGAGCATTCTGTCTTTATGATGGGTCTAGTACCCTTCATAAAGTACCTAGTACTAGTACCTATGAGTTTGTAATTGTCTCCCCCTAGTGGTCATGAGCAGTTCTGTTATGAATAGACATTTCACAGCTTACTTACAGCGGTTTTCTATTTGAAGCCTGTTTTTGTAAGCATAGAGTACCCAAAAATAGTGCACAGGTAAGATTTACTCACCTTTATTTTATTTTTATCTGATATTTAAAACTATGTAAACTTTTTTAATATAAAGTTTGAATCCAGTACTTCCAGGAACAATATTGACTTCTTTACGTATTTAAGCATAACCTTCATGTTGAATAAAAAGGTTTGTTCGTTGTTCAGTGAAAATAATGACAATGGCTGGTGTACCCAAACATTTCACCCAGGTAAGAACACTGATATATTATTAACATATTACTTAAAGGAATAGTACGTATATACATACAATAGTACTTTTTTGATATCTCAAATGCATCTGGAGATCTGGGAGGCTTCTTGCTGTCTGCTGACATTCAAATAATGGAGGTCTATGGCGCCCGAGGCAGAAAGGTCCATAAAAGTCCACAAAAAACGTGTCAATGTTCCTCCATACTGCTCGTCCAATGTATTCCAAGTGTCCTGAGTGGGTAGCGTCCAGAATTTACTCGAAACAAAGTCATTTAGAATGTTTTTAGAGCATAAACAGTAGTGTATAGGATGTCCTGAAAGCGCGTTCACGAGTCTACGGAAACCGCGGCAGACCAAACCAGATGAAAGTGCGCATTCAGCGTCTGCTCTGCCGATAATGCAAGCGTAGAAGAAGAAATGTGCTGTTTACCTGTGCAAAGAAAGAAACAACGAAAGAAAAATGTCCGAGGACTTCAGTGTTGAGGAAGAGCATGAGTTCTTTGCCAAGCTGAATGCGCACTTTCATCTGGTTTGGTCTGCCGGTTTCCGTAGCGCCGTGAACACGCTTTCAGGAAATCCTATACACTACTGTTTATGCTCTAAAAACATTCTAAATGACTTCGTTTCGAGTAAATTATGGACGCTACCCACTCAGGACACTTGGAATACATTGGACGAGCAGTATGGAGGAATATTGACACGTTTTTTGTGGACTTTTATGGACCTTTCTGCCTCGGGCGCCATAGACCTCCATTATTTGAATGTCAGCAGACAGCAAGAAGCCTCCCAGATCTCCAGATGCCTTTGAGATATCAAAAAAGTACTCCAGAGTGTTGTTCAGCATGGGGGTGAGTAGAAAATGAAGGCTAATCATGTTTTGGGTGTACTATTCCTTTAAAGTAAAAGTAAAAGTATGGTTCAGTAAAACTACTCCTAAATGTATTTTAGGAGTAACCAAAGTAACTGTAACCTAGTAAATGGAACTAATTACTACCTTCCTCTTGTATTAGCATTACTTATGTGTTTGTGGCGGGTTTTGTATTTGCTAATATCATTTTTTGTATTTGCCGCTGTGAATTTGCAGGGTGTTTGCACACATCAGCCACTGTACTGTTATAATGTCATGAATCTAGGTGCCTATCTGGGCAAACCCCTTAACCCTAGACTGTGTGATGGATGAGGAAGTGATGCTTGGGCTGACCTTTTATGTTTTGCATCTTTATTATTTGTAGCCCATCGCACACAGAGAAGAGCCGAGTCAGTCTGTGTTTTTTTTGTGTAGTCAGTGTGTCAATGTGTAGTCCAAACCATGCGATCCTGTTTGGTCCAATCTAGTCCAGTTCAGATCCAATCCAAACCAATCCAGTCTATTCCTTGATGCAATCAGTGTTTAGTCCTGTTTCTCTCCTTGCCGTAGCTACAAGCTCAGCTTTTACTTTGGCTAACTGTAGGGGCTGAAGAAGGGACAGACAAAAAAGGCTTTAGAGAAAAAGAAAATCATGAATTATCCAAAATATTTTTACAGCCCAAGGCAGCAAAGTAGATTGCTTTAAACTGTTCAATTATTTTTTTCTTTTATTTCCAATGCTGTGTGCTCAGTGATCGGGAGGTTCCTGCAGCAGCATGAGGAGCATCGGGAGCGTCTGTATGAAGTGGAGGCTCCAGGAGGCTGGACTCAGAGAAGAAACATCTGGCTCAACATCCAGCTTGGTCGCTACACACCTGAGCAGGTAGCATCACAACCCCTGGTGGAACCATAATCTTACCTACTGATTGAATGTCCTCATAAATGATTTGCTCTGAGATTTATTGTAAAAATATACTTTATTAGTCATTGAACAAAACAGGTTAACTTGGCTTCCTAAAAGATCTTCCATGAATCAAATGACTAAAAACTGTAGGATTGGTGGGAATGTGATGAATACGGGTCAAGGGGAGTTTAGCATGTTTTGCAAGAGCGGAGTTTGAAAAATGTTAGGATGGATTCATGATAACAACAAAATGGAAATGAAATTAAAATCCATAACCAAACCCCATATCTGTCCACCCACAGACTGGAGGAGCTTCCCTGATCTCGGTTAGCAGCTGTAACTTGAACGCTCCCCAGATAACGGCCTCTTTTCAGCTCTGTGATGTGAAGCAGTGTGAACGTTCCCTGAGCCGTGAGATCCTCAGAACAGGATGTTGCTCTGCAGCCAACACTCATGTTCTGGATTTGAAAGCTCCCAGCAGGCCACATATTGTGGGGGAAAGGTTGAAACTGAAGAATGCTTCATCAAATAAGACCAACAGAAACAAAAGGTCCAAAGGAGCCAGAAGGACATTGAGAAAAAAACATAAGCTGAGCTCAGAAATGACCTGCTCATACCCTCTGCGTGTAAAATGACTTTCAGGCATGAAAATGATCCGTTTTTTGCGTCTGGCGAAGATTTATTTTGCAGCATTTCTCACCCAGTGAAACAAGGTAAAGGATTTTAGCCTGTTTGGAGTTTGTCTGCTCCAGTTTCTGTTGATCCAGGTAAACCTCTTTAAACCCTGACTTACATAATCAGACACATATAGTGAACGGAAAACATATAAAAGATTATATAGAAATAATATGTAATATATCAAAATTGATGCAAATATAAGATGTAATTGAACTTATACAAAATGTATACTGTTATTTAATTTGTAAGAAAGTTCAATGACAATTCTAATTTTGGAAAATTAGAATGTTCTGTTATTATTTCATGGTTCAGGCTTTAAAGTGTTAATATTTTATTAATTGTAATCCTTATTAATAGTTTTATTATTCTTCAAACTGACTTTATATGTCTGAGAGTTTAATTATGTTTAAAGTACTTCTTAGGCCCACTTTCAAAATGCATACAAATATTTTATCTTTTTTTTTACCCTTTTAGTTGTGATATAGCAAACTATCAAGCACCAAAACTCGACCCAGTATGCTGTAATATTGGTGCCTTCATGTGGTATCGTAATTATGGTAAATAGCAAAAGCCGACAAAATTGCACATGGAAAAAATTACGACGCCCAGGTTGTAATTTCCACTGCACTTCTATGATACCCGGGTTGCTGAGGTGAGGTAAACTTTGACCTTTCAACATGGCGGAGAGCACCAGTTATTCTGCAAGCTGAACACTGCATCGTTTAGAGATCTCTCATGTTGTGTTTTAAGCCTAAAATATGCAATTTTTTAAATATATATATATTCATAATACATATACATATATATATATATATATATTTAAACTTGTCTCATTTTTGAAATGAGTGTTTTTTTTTTTTTTTTTATCAAATAGCCAGCAGTCAGTCGATGCATTTTTTTGCATCCGCTTCTTCCTGTAGCAGAAGAACTAGGAAGTCTAGCTGTCTTGGCCAAGAACCAGATCAGGATAATCTTTAGATTCAACATGTTTATCATCTTTACCACAAAAGCACTTGAACACAACGTTCTGGTGATTTCCTCTTTACAAGTGGAAGGATCATCTTTACCAGACCACATGAAGGCAGCATTGGATCCAATGACCTCGATGTTTTTTTAACGTTTAAACATTAAATGGTAGCTTTATATTTAATTCCTCCCAGCCAGTAAGTGGCGCACTCACGCTCACCCACTCTGTACTTTTTGCAAACGTTTTCACCTTGATTCTCAGCTTTATCTCGGGCCTAAGAAGCCTGGCAGCATCTGAGCTCCACCTTACCTGACTTAAACCTACTTTTGTTTTTCATTAATTTTAATGTTATGTTTCTCACTATTTTAATTTTTTTTACCAGTCTTATTTTTTGTCTTAGCTTCTCTGTGTTTCACTTTTCTATTTTGATTTTGCTGGTATTTTCAGTGATATGTACAGAACTTTGATGACTTATGCTATTCTAAATAAAGGTGAAATGGTATGGTCCTACTCCTACTGGTGCAGAATCCTTTCATGTTGGCATTGGCATCATAACCAGAAGTAAATTATATATTCTGAACCTATCAAAAATTCTAAAACATTTATATACTGTACTTCTTTCCTGTAAAATTTATTTTATTCTCTAGAATAAAATTTGACATAAAACAATGAAAATAACTTCAGTTGGATGTAAATACTCCTTCATTTCGGTCGTGTAAATGAGCATCGTTCTGTGAGATAGAGCTCAGGCCGTTTTTAATCTAGTTGATAAGTGAAAACAAAACAAAAACAAACAGCACACTATGTCCAAACAAACAAACCATGAAAAGTTATTGTTGGTGAAAGGATAGTAGCTTTAGCACTGCTGGAGGACATTGCTAATGAAGGATGAGGAAGGAATGCGTGATCAGAGATTTTAAAGCATGACTTATTAGTTGGTTCACACTGGAACCGTGTCACAGAGGCGAAGGCCTACTGCCGGGAATAATGGCGTCGGTTCATCTTCTCACTGCTGTGGGAGCAAAGTGTTTGGACATGATTGACAGGTCCAGTGTTCAACAGTGATCACTGAGCTGTCTCTTGCAGGCCATATGGGACAAACTCATCCATATGTTGCACCTATTTGTGATGCTCAAACCTGTCACAGCACAAACGTCAAGCAGGCTCTGAGTGTGATGGCTGGCTTCTGGTTTTTTTAAGTTTGTGTGATGCCCTGAATCTTTGAAACAGTAATCATACTTTAAGTTTGTGTTGTTGGCATCCATCTTCTCCCGTATAGTCCTGTCAGGGTCACGGTTGGGCTGGTGCCTATCTCTGGCAGTCTATGGGCGAGTCTGGGCGCCAGTCTGTTGCAGTGCATCAAAGAGGCACACAACCATGCAGACACTTGCTCACACCTAAGGACAATGTAGGGAAGCCAATTAACCTAACTGTCATGTCTTTGGACTGTGGGAGGAAGCCGGAGTACCCGGAGAGAACCCATGCATGCATGGGGAGAACATGGAACAAACTCCATGCGGAAAGACCCCAGGGCCAAGAATTGAACCCAGAACCTTTTTGCTGTAAGGCAATAGTGCTACCCACTTCATCAATGTGCAGACCATTGTTGTTGGCATATTTATGTGAATTAAAAAGATTTGGTAAACATTACAATAATGGAGCTCAATGCCACAGATAAAAATAACCACTTGTACTTGATAAAAAAATAAGATTCCAAGTGATTTTGTTCTTCATCTTTTTTAAATTTATTATTACAAAGTACGACTTTTATTGTCATTTAGTTAATTAGTTTTCGGTCTCTTTAACAAATATCCTTTGGGAGCCATATGCTGGGATGCTGCCATCAACAACTTTATGTCATGATGCGTTGGTTTCACTAGCCCATATGCAGACTCACAGACACAGAGGGAGGATAAAAGTCCAATATTTATTGGAAACCAGAAGCAGCTGCAGGTTCAAGGCTCAGACAGGCATGGTGGCACAGATAAGACACACGATCCAGCACAGAGAGAAATTCACATACAGCTTATATAGGGAGCTTCCTTAATCAGCAGAATATCAAACAGCTGATCAAGCTGAGTCCAAGCTCCCCAAGCTTGGATCCACGGCGCCCTCTGGTGGGCAAAGTCCCGGATCCTGACACTTTAATTGTAAATCATAGAGTTGGTCCTATTTTTCAGTGTTCAGTCCTGTTTCTCTCCTTGCCATATCTACTTTGGTTAACTGTAGGGGCCCTTAGTCATTCGTTTGACATAAAAACTGACTCATAGCTCATCTAGTTAACTACTTCTTTCCTAGATAGAGCCACCTCTGGAGCTGGTTAACTTACCTTTTCTAACATAGAAAGTTTTTTAAGGGTCAGTGGTTCCATGTAATTTTTTGTATGTCTGCTTGAGCTCCCAGAGTCTGCTTTTGCAGAAGCCCGCTCACACCACGCCTGGTTCTGGTGGAGGTTTCTTCCTGTTAAAAGAGAGTTTTTCCTCTCCCTTGTCACTGCAAGTATGCTGGGTGTGAGGGATTGCTGGAGAATTCTCCTCCTAGGAGCCATGCTTACAGGAATTAAAACTGTCCTTCACTGCCAACACCCTAAGAGCTCAGCTTAGAAGGACCAGAACCTGCATGCCGAGCCAAAACCCTCAGGGCTCAGTGGAGAAGAGCTGGGATATGAACAGGAGACAAACATTAAACCCTCTCAATCCACTGGCCTTCCAGAGTCAGGACATGAACCAGAAACTAAAACTCGTGAAGCTACCAGGTCTGAGATCATGACAGTATGTGGACTTTTGAATCAGAATACTGACACAGTATAGTTGATCTTGATATCCAAACAAAAGAAGAGCAGCAGAAAAAGGTATCTGAATTAGCTGTTTGCTGCAGGTCAGATGTAAACCATGCAGGGTTAAAGCCTCTATTATCTATCTCCTTCTACCAGCAGCCCCCAACCTCATTAGGTAGCCATGCAGCTTCTCTTTCGTAACAAGCAGCCCCCTGTCCTCAGTGGATATATTTCTATATTTCTAAATGTCCATCATAAAGCATGGAGTCAAAAAAGAGCAGCACATTACGTGTATTACATGAGAGAGAGAGCTGTGAATGTGATTTAAATCATTCTGGAACATGAATACCACAGAAGCAGGCATGTTATCCGGATTCATCCATCACTTAAGCTATGTTCACACCTAAAGCAGCAGAGGCAGAAGAAGCAGGTAGTTTACATGCAAAGTCAATGGTTGAACGTGCATCAAGGCGCAGCAAAAGGTCCCGCAGCGCGTTTTGAGCAGCTGAAGCAGCGCATCACGAGTTTCTGAGCATCTGAGGCGTGGGACTCTTTTCCTGCTCGATGCGCCACTTCAACCAATCAGAGAAGCTGACTTGGGAACTGGCAGGGAGAGAGACACAGCACTGCTGATGCAGACCACTATGATCCCTCCTCTGAAACAGTTTATTAACGCCTAAATTAACTTAAAATGCCAAAATCTGCTGGATAATTGTTTGCTTTTATTATCCTGGTGCCTGCAGTTTGGATTACGTACAAGAAAAATGCCAACATCTACTTGTTGAACAGGATTTCCAGTGACAGCGCACCGCCCGTGTACGGGGGGTCTGAGCGGCTCCGACAATGAGATAATATTTGAAAGCAGGATCGTATTCCTGATGAACTGACTGCACAGATGAAGTTCTGAGGTGGACTTTCTCACTGAAAAACTTATTAAAACTACTTTTACTCACTGATCACAGCAATTATAGTTGCCATTGTTATATGCAAAGAAAGGATAGGGTACAATGGTATAAATATCGGTCAGCAGAGACAACATTTGCTTATGGGCCTACAGCCTCTCTGGGGTCCCATCACTGACACCTGGTGGTTCCCCTACACGATTGTAGACTAGGACGTCTCTTTGCAGATGTCATGGTGCGAAAATGTTTCTTAAACCCACCTGATACTGAAGTGACTAACCGAATCGGACTGTATTTATACCGCAACACATGCCAGATTTCAACATGATGGGGGGGTTTCGATAAGCATCTCCCTGAAATTAGTTTTGGAACTTGGGATGTCTGTAACATGTGGTGGTGCGCTGTCTTCAACGGTTCCGCAGTCACTATTTTTCCGTGTGTGATGTGTGATCATATACTGCTGAGAATTGCATAATTGTATCCTCTTGGCTGACTTATGGAGCTGTCGCCGTATCCTGAACCTTTATCACATGTTATACTTCATATGGGGCCCACCCAGATAATGTTGCTTACGGGCCTATTGTTGCGTCGTTACGCCATTGATAGGGTTGCTCCGCCTAAAGCGCATCTCACCCACTTTCCACTGTGCAGCTAGAGCACCAAAGATGCTTCTGCTGCACGTCAGAACTAAACATGTACAAGCATCAAAAATGAAGCAGCACACGCATTTTAGCTGCTCCAGCTGCTTGCAGTGTGAACGTAGCATTAGAGTAGATAATCTTTATAATTATAAAATGTTGGTGTGCAAGACCCAAGATGATGTAAAAAAATATAATTTACTGTTTCCATGATTTGTTTGCAATTATTAAAAAGTTATGTTATGTACATCCCTGTGGGATTACTGCCGGGTTACTGATGGAGTCATCTTCCAGTCATTGCAAATCAAATCTTGCAACTATACAAGGCCGATAACATAAAAAACTAACTTTTGTGGCCTTAATCCTAACTGAATAACTATGCTTGCTATTTATTTCCAATGCTGCCTTCACTGTGTAGTGTAGTACCTATTACATAATCCTTCTCGTCAGTTTCATTTTCTCTTAGAATTTTTATTTATTATAAACAGGCTTAAAGGTACAATATTTACCCTAAATATTATAACCTAACTGTTTGCATCAAGTAGATATGCACATATTTAAATGTCCTTTAAAATAGCAATGATTTAGTTTACTTTGTAGACTTGATGTGTTGTTATTCTTCCTCTTCTCATCAGTCATTATTCTTTAGCTCATGTCTTTGCTGTTATTCTTAAAGGTGATATCCACTGCTAGAGTGTCATTTCTAATATTCTCTTTTTCCAGGAAATGCAGTCCTTTATAATTAAAACCAAAAGTTAAATCTCAGAATTATAATCCAAATGAACATTTTAAGTAAACTTTATTTTTTTACATTTCAATCTTCAGATATAGATTAGAAACGGAGGTGGCTGTTGGAAAATATATATTTTTTTAGTCTCATAGATTAAGTGTTTTTAGATATTTTAAGCAGATGTTATCCTGTTATTTCAGTTCTGGCTCTGTATATGTCAAATATCAATCTACTTTGTTCCTTTTGTCATCTTAAAAATGACACAATGATCCACCTTTTCAGGGATTACCTTTTTAGAAAAGCCTTTTATCGTTATCTTAATCTTAACATCTGAGATAAATTTTATCATTAACTTTCTTATTTTGCCACATTTTGTAACTTTTTAAAACAAATTTTGCTCCTTTTTAACAAGTAAAAAAAAAAAAAAAAAGCACAACCTTTTTGGCTTTTTTGAACTAAACCTTGTAGTAACTCTAAAGTTGTTAAACTTAAAAGCCAAAGTAAAAAGTTTACTTTATATTTACTATATTTAATTTTTTTTTTTCTAATTTGGTACGTCGCCGTCTATGGTTTATTAATGATTACTTTGAAATAAAGTTCATTACAAAGGCAGATCATTTCAAGTGTCTGGCGGCACTAGGGGTGTGAAAAACGAGCGCACCTCGCTCTAACACACTTTCATGCAGGAACAGGAAGTTTGGAAACAGGAAAAAATCTCGAGTAGAAGGAAAAAAACTGAGGAATACTTTAAAAAATGAGCAGAATTTATTACAACACGTCTTTAGAAAACAAACCGGTGCACAATGAGAGATTTGACCGCGTTTGGTGTCCCTCTTCATATGAAAGGTAGGAGCTCCAAACTGATAAATCCTCCCAGTGCAGCTGCACCAAACCTCGATAATAAATCAAAATCTCCTTTTTCTCTAATTATATAAAGTAGTGGTTGTTATATACTGTTTTAAAGTCTTAACAGATAAGGAATAAAAAAATCGTCCTTGTTTTTCAAGGTGCTAATGAATACATCGTTGTTGGTATAAATTAGAGAAAACTATTAACACCTCTTAGAATGAGGCAACAATAACCTGAGCAGAGGCGTAGCCGTAAAATTTTTATGAGGGTGGCCAGGCATTAACCAATGTACATTAGGGGGTGGCCGAGAGTGGATAGGCGCCAGATCCTCAGGGTCAATCTACACTGTTCCAACAGGAGAATTAACGAGCAAAACATCCATATTTTATAAATAAAGACAAACTATACCTTCCTACAGCCTTTGCTAACAAATAAACGAATATATTCAAAAATCAGTTTTTTTTCTAGATAAAAGGTGTATTGGATAACATTTTTTACAGGTTTGAGTTTTGGGAGAACATCTTTTCCATTTTCGTTACTAACCTACTTTTGTCAATAATCATTCTGCCTAAAATTTAAATTTAAATAATATTTACATAAATTGATTATTATTATTTTTTTTAATAGTTATTCTATTATAGTTATTCTATATCTGTGATTTCACTGAAGACTCCTAGATAGGGATGGGAATCGAAAACCGGATCCTGTTAAGAACCGGTTCCGTATTTTCCGATTCCATGGTATCGTTTGGCAGCTCGCTGAATGATTCTTTTTTCGATTCCCGCAGCACCAGAGCCTAGAGCGCCGGCTCTGGGGAGCACGACTTACGTCACGTTTTTTACGTAAGTTACGCAACTTACGCAAGTTACGCAAGTTGGAAGAACTATTCGAGGAGGAAGACAACGAGCTGCGGTCACTTTGTGAATCAAAGCCCCGTCTTTCCTTAGCCCAGAGGGTAGATCAGGAAATCCAGCTCTATAAAAGCTTGCCCTCCATCCCCTGCAGGGATAGCGCCACACTGTGGTGGTGGAACAAGCAAGATGTGCTGCCCTTGCTATCTGACTGGCTGAAAACTACCTCTGTGTGCAGGCTTCCTCCACCCCATCTGAGAGGGTGTTCTCCACGGCTGGAGACACCATAAGCCCTGAAAGATCCTGTATCCTTCCAGAAAAAGCAGATATGCTCATCTTTCTGCAAAAGAACTGTTAATTTTCCCTACTACTGTTTTATAATTAGTATTTTTTGTTATTTAAAATAGGTTATTATCCCATAATTTGTTATTAGACATTGTTGGTTATTAAGTTTGTTCTTGTATTCATTTTTCATTTAAACACAGATGTTACTCCAGTTTCACATTTCCTGTGGACATCTTGATCTTGTTGAGTTTGTAAGATTGTGCAATAGTTAAGTAAACAAAGTTGACTCTGATAATCAAACTGTTTGTTCTCCTTTTTCCCCCAAATTGGAATTGAAAAAAGAATCGATAAAGAATCGAATCGTTTCATAGAATCGAAAAGGGAATCGGAATCGTGAAAATCTTTTCAATTCCCAACCCTACTCCTAGATGACTTGCAGAGACACGTTATTTTCTCTTTACCCGATAAAACACATAATCTACTTCTATAAAGAGCATGACTTCTGTACTTATCGTCTTTAATGTTAGGATATTGATGTGCACAATTATCCACAGTGTTTTTGTTCATTAAAAGAGGGGGAAAAATGGTAGGAGTGGCCACAGGGGTGGCCGGTGATTGGCTTAGGGTGGCCATGGCCACCCCTGGCCCCCCATCAAGCTCCGCCCCTGAACCCGACCCCTTTAATGTGATATTTTAGTGATAAAAATATTTTTAGAGGGATTAAATACGGTCAAGTTTATCATTAACTGTTACTCATTCAGTTCAAACGTGTTATGTTGGTTCCCCTCAGTGGTCCCGGGGTCCTTCTAGAGGGGAACCTGCTGGATGTTTCCAGACATTCAATCAGTGACACTAACGGCCAAAAGGTAGGTTTTTATTTATATTTTAATTTAGTTTGAAATTTCATAATCTTATTATATTTTACAATATATTAGATCATAAGATTTGTGTTTTTAGTTTATATTTTATGCTTGTGGTTTTTAGGTACTTTTTTGTGTTTATGTATTATTTTATATATTATATATTTTTTTTTCATTTGTGATTTAACCTATTGTGTTTGCACTTTTTTAATTCTTTCAATAGGTCATGTTATCTATTATTTCTATTTCTAATTTGATAGACACAATTTTTTTTGTATAAAGAATTAGTTCTTTTGTCAGTAAAGACTATCATGAACTGTGCCAATCAATTTTCCTTCTCAGTAAAGGATTAAATAACATTTTGTGTTTTGTATTTTGAAGGCAAACAAAGGACTGACCTAAGTCATAAAGTTTAGTTGTAGATATTTGTGGCAGCAGAATATTGCTAAATAATATGAATTATAAAGGATCTGATGTGTTTAATGAACGTTTGAACTAGAGATGTTCCGATACCAATTTTTCTCTCCCGATATGATTCTGATGCTTGTTTCTGTGAGTGTGGGCCGATACTGATTACTGATACCAGTATGTTACAAACAATAATCATATTACGCCTCTATGACTGTGATATGATTCTAATTGTAGTAAAGCCTGGCTGAGGATGAACTCTTGATTGGAGACATGAATGAATACAGTAAATTTAAGCAAGTAATTTTTTTAAATAGAACAGAAAAAAATAAAAACAACATAACAGTAATTGCTAGGTCAATTTCCGACAGGTGATCAGCTCTTCACCCGCCCAAAACAGCAGGTGGCAGCACAGCACAAATGTTATACCAGCAGGGCGTAAATCCTATTTTAGATTACATGGTATCGGATCGGCGGCTGTAATCCAATACTCACCGATACCAATGCCAACATTTGCAGCTTTATTGGAGACATAATCGATACTGGCATCAGAATCAGAACAACTCTAGTTTAAATATCTTGATGGTAACCAAGAAAAAAAGGCTTGTGGAGAAATACACAGGCTTTATATTAACGTTATATAAAATGGTTTACTGATATTAATTTCTTCCAGTTTTTCCTAGCAATAGTGGAGAAGTACCCCCCTAATCCACCCATTCCCACACAATGGTTTGGCCCCTGACACAACTTTTTTATGTTTATTAAGCTGCTCCATTAAAATATAAAATGCTACCGGTAGGGACAAGGTAATACACGTTGACTCTTTAAAATAGAACTAATATCGCGAACACGCCTTAATCTGCAGCCACAGCCTGACTTCAGATGCCACTAAAAAACTCAGCCATTTATTTCCAGGTTCTGTAGTTTATCTTTAGTAGTTAGAACAGGTCTAATACTGCTAAGAAACTGTGCTGATGCTAATTCCTCTTCCAGTCGTCATTCACCTCTGAATCTGCAGGATCATGCTGGAAGTGAGCAGCTGTGGGGAAAAAACAACAGAATCTGCTGTAGAACCTCCGCAGAATGGCTTTCAGGTTAACCTTTTAAAACCTTAAGCGGGGGTAATAATTCAGAATGCATAAAATTCCACCGGTAAAATTTTTACCAGCAGGTGGAACCATTGCAAGCAGCTCCAAGCTGACGCCAAAAGTTCAAAGCCTCACAGCTCTGGAACTGTTATAGCTAGAGGCATTTGTGGTTGACATGATGTAGAACAAATGTAACACAATAAAACCTGTTTTTTTCTCAAGAATGTCTATTACTGCTGTTAAAAAAAGACCTATCATTTCCGTAAATAAAAAAAAAACAACTTTGAGTCATGTTTGAACTGATGTAGCTTGGTCTGTGTTCCACTCACCCAATTTATATATTCAGAAACTAGAGGGTGTTAGCTTTCAAATAATGTATTGCACATGTAATTTGCGCTTACAGTTCCTAAGTTATTTGCTTTTCAATTTGGGTATGCAAAATAGACAAGGATTACCCAAAATCAGGTGGATGTTAAGAGGTTAACATTTTTCGCTCAAATCTAAACATGTTCCAAGCCAAAAACTATAAACATTTAAAAAGAGGCAATGAAAATTTCAATTCAACTTGAGATGGATCAAATTAATAGAAATGTTTTTGTTTTGTTTTTTCTAAATAAATATTGATTACAATAGTTTTTATACCACGGAGTATTAGGCCCAGGCTAGAGATTTTTTTGTTCTATTTCAAGAATAAAGTCGTAACATTACCAGAATAAAGTCATAACCGAGAATAAAGGCGCAAAATTATGAGAATAAAGTCGCAATGAGAATAGTCATAAAATTACGAAAATAAAGTCGCAACATTATGAGAATAAAGTCGTCAAATTACAACAATAAAATCGTCAAATTACGAGAATAAAGTTGTAACATTAACATTATGAGAATAAAGTCGTAACATTACACGAATAAGGACGTAATATTATGAGAATAAAGTTGTAACATTACGACAATAAAGTCATAACATTACGAGAATAAAGTCGTAGCATTACGAAAATAAGGTCATAACATTATGAGAATAAGGACGTAATATTACGAGAATAAGGTCGTAACATTACAAGAATAAGGTTGTAACATTACGAGAATAAAGTCGTAACATTATGACAATAAGGACGTAATATTACGAGAATAAAGTCATAACATTATGAGAATAAGGACGTAATATTACGAGAATAAGGTCATAACATGAGAATAAGGACGTAATATTACGAGAATAAGGTCGTAACATTGCGAGAATAAGGTTGTAACATTACGAGAATAAAGTCGTAACATTATGACAATAAGGACGTAATATTACGAGAATAAGGTCGTAACATTACGAGAATAAAGTCGTAAAATTTTGACAATAAGGACGTAATATTACGAGAATAAGGTCGTAACATTACGAGAATAAGGTCGTAACATTACGAGAATAAGGTTGTAACATTATGAGAATAAGGTTGTAACATTACGAGAATAAAGTCGTAACATTATGAGAATAAGAACGTAATATTACGAGAATAAAATCGTAATATGAGAATAAGGACTTAATATTACGAGAATAAGGTTGTAACATTATGAGAATAAGGATGTAATATTACGAGAATAAGGTTGTAACATTATGAGAATAAGAACGTAATATTACGAGAATAAAGTCGTAACATTATGAGAAGAAGGACGTAATATTACAAGAAAAAGGTCTTAACATTATGAAAATAAAATCTTAATATTACGAGAATAAAGTCGTAACATTACGAGAATAATGTCGTAACATTACGAGAATAAAGTCGGAACATTACGAGAATAATGTCGTAACATTACAATAATAAAGTTGGAACATTACGAGAATAAGGTCGTAACATGAGAACAAAGTCGTAACATTATGAGAATAAAGTCGTAACATTATGAGAATAAAGTCGTAACATTATGAGAATAAAGTCGTAACATTATGAGAATAAAGTTATTAAATCATGAGAATAAGGTCGTAACATTACGAGAATAAGGTTGTAACATTATGAGAATAAGGTTGTAACATTACGAGAATAAAGTCGTAACATTATGAGAATAAGAACGTAATATTACGAGAATAAAATCGTAATATGAGAATAAGGACTTAATATTACGAGAATAAGGTTGTAACATTATGAGAATAAGGATGTAATATTACGAGAATAAGGTTGTAACATTATGAGAATAAGAACGTAATATTACGAGAATAAAGTCGTAACATTATGAGAAGAAGGACGTAATATTACAAGAAAAAGGTCTTAACATTATGAAAATAAAATCTTAATATTACGAGAATAAAGTCGTAACATTACGAGAATAATGTCGTAACATTACGAGAATAAAGTCGGAACATTACGAGAATAATGTCGTAACATTACAATAATAAAGTTGGAACATTACGAGAATAAGGTCGTAACATGAGAACAAAGTCGTAACATTATGAGAATAAAGTCGTAACATTATGAGAATAAAGTCGTAACATTATGAGAATAAAGTTATTAAATCATGAGAATAAAGTCGTAACATAATGAGAATAAAGGCATAAAATTAGGAGAATAAAATTGTAAAATTACGAGAATAAAGTCGCAATATTATGACTTTATTCTCATATTATTACGACTTTATGCTCGTTATTTTGGTTAGTCACAACGAGAATAGTCATAAAATTATCAGAAAAAAATCGTAATCTTAAGAGAATAAAGTCCTAAAACTACAAGTTATATTTTATGACAACTCTTACAAGAAGCCCTTTCTTCCCTGAAATGAAGAATGTTGAGCATTATACTTTGGCTCTGGTTTCACAAATAAGGAAATCTTTTAGCACACCAGCTTTAAATTGGGCATGATGTCAAAGGCATTTGCTGGTCGGAGCTCAAAGCTTTTTTTCTGAGACGGGTTGAGGTGTGATGACTACATTGTCGTAATGTTATGATTTTGTTCCTGTAATAATAGGACTTTATTCTCGTAATATTACAGCTTTATTCTCAAAATAAAAGATAAAAAAATCTCTAGCCTGGCCCTAATACTCCGTCGTATTTCTAATTAAGATTTGTGACGTTAGCGAAATATGTACAGTATGTCACGTCTGAGGGGGCTATATCCGCTTATCTTGTCCTGGGTCCTGCCAAGGCTGTCAGCTGACCTGATCTAACAGACTTAGAGCTTAATCCACTGAATAAAGATAAAAAAAATCCCAGAGCAAATATGTCATGCCAAACAAAAATCAAAGTTTGATGAAAAGCAGACCGGACATTGTTTTCTCTCTTTGAAACGAATGTCAGGTACGTTTCTATGTGCTGTACATCAAACCCACACGCATCCATCAGAGGAAATTTGAAGCCAGTGGGAAGGAGTTGGAGCCGAACTTCAGCGACACCAGAAAGGTCAACACAGGCTTCCTCATGTCCTCCTACAGTGAGTAAGCAACAACAAACATCAGCTGTGGTATATTTTCACTCTTAGATTGCTTTAGTGGCTTTGACTCTACACAAAGTGGGAATGGTGTTGCATAACTGAAAAAATAAACCATTACTCAGTGGGAAAATCATGGATATTCCAGTTAGTTTAACTTTTTCAGGCAAGTTGATGTTGTTGTGATTTTTTTTTTCCTCAGAGGTGGAAGCCAAAGGAGAATCGGATCGTCTGACTGAGGATCAGCTTTCGCAGATGATTAACAAAGCTGAGCTGGTCAAAATCACCGATATGCTCCGGCCTGCTGGAACCTGGGCCTTCTGGTACCCAGAGTTAGAGATGGACAAAACGGAGCTGGAAACGGGGCAGGAAGTCAGACTGAAGACCAGAGGAAACAGTCCTTTTATATGTCAGAGAAAAACCTTAAACCTACTGGTTGCATATTTACCTTACTCTAACTCTAGAAGCTAAAAAGTAATACTAATGATTTCAAATGAATGGTTTGGTTTTTTCAGAGCCCCTGAGCTCTGCTGTAGGTCACATGCAGCACGGATAACATTCCTCCCTCTTTTATTCCACAGTCTCTTTGGCCAAAGTCGACAGCGGGACGGTTACCAAGTGCAACTTCGCTGGAGATGAAAAAGCCGGAGCCTCGTGGACGGACAAGATAATGGCCAATAAATCAGAGAGCAGCAGCTCCCAGAGGCCCGGAGGAGCAGGAGAGGGAGCAGAGGAGGAGGAATGGGTCAGAACCACATCTAACATTTGGATTTCTATTGCATTGTATTTTATTATTTTTTAATCCATCTTAGTTATAGCTTTATTAAGTACAAAGAAAATAAGATTTTAATTGATGTTTTAAGTTTTAATAATTCAGCATTAATAATCATTTTCTTTTATTAAATTAAAACATATAGTTCATTTATTTCAACCAAATGGCATTTTGTTGTTTTACCTTTTTGTAATTCTAGTTTTTAAATACATCTTTTTATTAGAATTTTGATCACATTATCTTAAAATAAATCATCTTTAAAAATGAAAATCAACACTTACACTAAAGTATGTCTGTGTTTGATTCACCAAATCCATTAGTTTTCATGCTTTGTACTTAGAATAAGAATTGTATTTTTTCTTCTGTAATTAAACTTATTGTATTACTGCTGATTTCAATAACAAAATGCAAAGAGAACTGGAGCAGCTGCTTTGGCACTAATATAATCTGGTTCTAAACATTCAGATGTCTCTATTGGTAGCTTTGTATGAATCTGGATCTATTCTTCAGGATCTAATGTTTATTTTCCTTTAGGACGACTGAGGACACCAACTCACACCCCCTGATCCAGCCTTAGTCCTGGCCTAGTTCTGGATTTTAAGCTTGTTTGGCTTAAAGCTGAAAATCTTGTATTGCCTTGAACATTCCCAACTGGATATTTTGCTCTTTCGAATGTCTATTTAACCTTTTTATTCTTTTTGTTAAATCTCCTTATATAGAAAATAAGGACCTCAAACCCACAACTTGCATAATGTCATTTGATACTATTGCAAATGTATTACTGATTTACTACACTATTTATTTTTAAAGCATCTTTTCTGATGAGATAATAGAAAAACTGAGCTCTTTAAGCTTTTCTTTGCTTTTTTGTTCGTCTGGTGCAAGATTTCCATTTTTCATTGTTCTGCAGCACTATCATGTTCTGCTAAGGATAAAGTGGCCTTATGAGTTTCCTTTTCTCCGTGGATTGATGATAAGGATGTTCTGAAGTCAGTCACCTGTTCAGAACATCAATATAAAGCAGCTGATTGACCTAAATCCCACCTAGAAGTAAAGAGGATGTGTCAGTTCTGGCTTTAAATATTTCCTCTGAATTAAAAGCGTAAAGTCTTTCTTTTACATTTAACTGAATCTTTGCTCATTTTATATAAACTCTTTAAACCATGTTGGTGTTTCTTGATCAAAAAAATAAAGTTTTTCAATTTTTATTAAATAAAAGCTGTTGTTTTCATTTGTATTCAGCACCTCTGAGTTGATATCTATAAAAACATCTTGCTCTTACAACTGTGACTTTTTTGCATTGTCTGTCCAGATTCTAGAGAGATTTATTTTTACTTCCTCTTTGAAAATTATCTGTGATGATCAGTTTCCAAGTGCCACAGATTCAGGTTACATCAGGCCTGTGCTTTGACTCTCTCATTTTAGCACATCTTTAAACCAGGGGTCACCAACATGGTGCCCACATGCACCAAGAGGCCCTCAAGGACCACATGGTTTGCAACTCGCCAATTTGTCAAGTTTGAAATTTTTATTTTATTCTGCTGCTCTTATATTCCAATTGATATAGCGTGTATAAAATCAAATGACAATATGTCGGCAGATAGCCGCTCACACTGAGCCTGGTTCTTCCTGCTAAAAGAGAGATTTTCCTCTCCACTGTCGCTACAAGCATGCTTAGTGTGAGGGATTGCTGAAGAGTCAATGAGTCGATGCAATCAACTGGTTTTCCTTCGATAGAAAACTGAATCAATTTGACTGGATGATCTGGTGAACTGTAAAATGCCTTGAGATGACATTTGTTGTGAATTGGCGCTATAGAAATAAACTGAATTGAATAGAATATCTAAAAGAAAATTAGAAATTATGCAAACAGTAAAAAATGTTTTATTATGTATGAAGTTTAGATGAACGCTGACCCCATAGTTCCTTGGTCAGTATTGGCAGTTCTTCCAATGACTGTTTGGTGACCCCTGCTTTAAACTTTGAAATGATTAAAATCCTAATTGTCCATAAGTGGTTTAAAGTTATCTATCAGTGTTATGAGAGCAAATTATAGCTGTTTTTGTTTTTTAATTTGGTTCCATTTAGTTTAGTGTCTAAATAGTACTTAGTCTTACATGTTTTCAGGCTATTTTTGCCATAAAAGGCATCCTTAGAAAAACAAACCGGTAATTAAAACAAGTTGTGTCTAATTACATCCAATTTCAGTTCAGACTCAAACAACGAGGCATTTCCTGTTGCATTCTTGTTAAGAGTAAAATAACACAGATAAAATGGGAAAAAAGTGGATGATTTTTTATTTTTTTTTATTTATTAAAAGCAACAATTTCAGCAAAATGAAAATGTTAGCAGTGATTGGATACTTTGATTGGAACATATATAACACACAAACAGACTTTCAGATGTGGATGTTTGTGTTTTAAAACCAGCTGCAGGAAAACTCTGGTTGATTGCATAGTTTTTAGATTAGGACAGTTACATGATTATTAAAAACAATCATTTTGATCCCTGATAAAGCAGCAACACACAAAAACAAAAAACCAGGACATCCTCACCAAACAGTGTTGTTCGAGCAGCAGATGCAAAGTTCAGAGAAGCGATACATATTTATATTTTTACTGTTTTCATTGAATACACAATAAATAACATTCGTTACTATTTACACAAACAACGGCATGCCTCTCACTGACTGTCCTACATGGACGCGGGTTTCATTTGATTAACTATCACCTGTTGAATTTTTGAATCCTTAAACTTGATCTGTAGTTTCCTTCACTTTAAAGTTGCCTGAAAACCGGCTGCGCCGCTGATCCCATCGGCTACAAAACATGGAAATCTTTGTTTATTCTGGATGGGCTGTTTCTTTCTCGAACCACTCCAGGATGATGTTTTTGTTCTCCTTCACCCATTGGATGTTGACTTTGGTTTGCTCGATGGCCTGATCAATGTGTCTGTCGTAGCCTCCCACTTCCTTGAATCTTTCCAGCTGCGGAAAAAAAAACGGGATCATTACATGAAGGAATACTTAAAATTTTTAATTCATTAAAGAGCTTTACTTTTTATAAGATTTCTGGTCCTTTCAGTTTGGATAGGTCAAATATATTTGCATCTTATATATAACTATATTTAACTTTAATTATATTTATTGTATCTATATTTAACAATTATGAACTCTGTCAGACTTATTAGTTATATATATTCAAATGAATCGAAAAGCTGAAAGTAAATAATTTAATTAACAGCTGAATGTTTTCAACTGCTCTGATCAAAACTATTAGCAATATAGGATGCAATTCAACAAACCAAGACAGAAATCTATGAGTTTAAAGGAATAGTACACCCAAAACATGATTAGCCTTCATTTTCTACTCCCCCCCATGCTGAACAACACTCTGGAGTACTTTTTTGATATCTCAAATGCATCTGGAGATCTGGGAGGCTTCTTGCTGTCTGCTGACATTCAAATAATGGAGGTCTATGGCGCCCGAGGCAGAAAGGTCCATAAAAGTCCACAAAAAACGTGTCAATATTCCTCCATACTGCTCGTCCAATGTATTCCAAGTGTCCTGAGTGGGTAGCGTCCAGAATTTACTCGAAACGAAGTCATTTAGAATGTTTTTAGAGCATAAACAGTAGTGTATAGGATTTCCTGAAAGCGCGTTCACGAGTCTACGGAAACCGCGGCAGACCAAACCAGACGAAAGTGCGCATTCAACGTCTGCTCTGCCGATAATGCAAGCGTAGAAGAAGAAATTTGCTGTTTACCTGTGCAAAGAAAGAAACAACGAAAGAAAAATGTCTGAGGACTTCAGTGTTGAGGAAGAGCATGAGTTCTTTGCCGAGCTGAATGCGCTGGTTTGGTCTGCCGGCTTCCGTAACGTCGTGAGCGCGCTTTTAGGAAATCCTATACACTACTGTTTATGCTCTAAAAACATTCTAAATGACTTCGTTTCGAGTAAATTCTGGACGCTACCCACTCAGGACACTTGGAATACATTGGACGAGCAGTATGGAGGAATATTGACACGTTTTTTGTGAACTTTTATGGACCTTTCTGCCTCGGGCGCCATAGACCTCCATTATTTGAATGTCAGCAGACAGCAAGAAGCCTCCCAGATCTCCAGATGCATTTGAGATATCAAAAAAGTACTCCAGAGTGTTGTTCAGCATGGGGGGGAGTAGAAAATGAAGGCTAATCATGTTTTGGGTGTACTATTCCTTTAAAGCTAAATAAATAAATATGAAATACAAAAAAGTTAAAAAGATTTAATTAAAAAAAATATATATTTCAAAATAAGACGTGGAAATATTTGAGATAACTACGAAATGATGAAAGTGTAAAAAAAAAAAAAGTACAATGAAATAATGTTATGAATATCCTATTGGACCTTTTTAGGTGTTATGAATAAGAAAAAGATAAAACTGTAGAGATGGAAAAGAGTTGGAAGTATAAAAGTTAATTTTATTTTAACTTTCTTTGGGATTAATAAAGTATTTACTAATTTAATTGAACTGAATGAATAATGCAAAGACATTTTTAAAATAAATAATAAATGACTGGTTTATTAATTTTTATTTATATCTAAAAATGTGCTTCATAAATGTTAAAAAAAGATATTTTTAAACAGAGCAACCTTGTAAATCTAAAAAAAATAAAGAGGTGCTGCTGCCCTGCTGACCTTTTCCAGGTCTTTGCCCTCTCTTGTAACCCAACTTCCTGTCTGAATACTTTCAAAATAACATAATAAAGACCAATAGAGTCTAAAACATACTCTTAAACTGAATTCATATGGTAAAGGTGTAAAATAAAATAAATACATAATAATAAAATATATTATAGAAGAAGCTAAAAGAAAATAACAAAGAGTTGGAAGTTTTTATCTAATTTCTCTAACATGAAGCGAAAACTACTTTAAGCTTCTTTAAAAAGTTGCAACCTCAGCAAATCCAGGTTTCGACCAATAGACAGTTTATATAACCTTTTTTTTAAATAAAAGGAAACAATACGGACCTTTGAAACATGAAGATTATCAATACAAATGTGATGAAACATCCAGATAAACATAAACTTAATGGCTCTTATTTAATTGAGGGTCAAAGGGTGAAAAAAATTAATTCTCATTACAAAGACGGGCCACGATGGGACACATTCCTGTTCGATACGGTATCAGGGTGTTTCAGGTTACTCATCTGGTGCAAACGGATCATCAAAAAAAAAACAGATTAGATTTATTTCTAACTTCCAGATAAAACGTGAGCCGGTTACCTGCTGCAGCTCAAACTGTGTGGAGAACCTGCGGGTCACTCTCTCAATAAGTCGAGGTGCATTCCTGTAAAATATCAGAAACAGCTTTTAACAGAAGCAAAGAAGCTGAAGGAGCAAATAATCAAGCAGAGTGGAGGCTCAATTATTTACTTTTTTATTGACTTAAGATAAACAACAAGTCCTGGATTATTAAATGAAGGCTAATATCTTGTGCGTATTTATAGTTAGATACCAGCTTTGTTAGCTTCCTGGTAACAGCATAAACAGTGGATACTTTATGGTGAGGAGCTAACGATAAGCACAGATTACACTTCAGGACCTTTGTCCTTGAAGAGGCAGCAGTGGTTTGCTGTAAACCACTGTACGTAAATTCTGCAGCTTTATGACTCCTCTTTTACGAGGTTTATTGAATTGTCACGAAGCCTCTGTAAACTACACCTCCCTGGATGAGTTGGAGGAGCTCTGAAGTTTATTTCCTCTTGGCTCAGATCCTCTGCTGCAGTGGAGATGAGAACCAAGATGCACATTGGTGGGTAAACACTGTTAGAGCAACTAGTTTCTTGGTGGTCCGGCACTACTTTATATATACTAACACTTAAAAGAAAACAAAGCTGATAATATATGTTTAGTTCATCATTTTCCCCCTACTCTTCTTTTTCTTTTAAATGATTTGAAAATAAATCCTCACAATAATGAAAACCAAACTCACCCCAAGGCAAAATAAAAAGAACATACAAAAATAAGCAGACAAGTAAAAAACAGAAATATTTCTTTATCTAGAGACAAAACAGGATTTAACTGCATAGCCTCAGTTTATTGGAACCATTTGGTAGATGAAGAGCAAGCAGGACTTTAAAGATGCAGTTTTAGATCTTTGTTGTATTTGATTTTTCCCATACAGTCTAAGT